CTCGTGTGTCATTTCAAAAATTATGTCTTCCACAAACTTGCCCCCTAGGTTTCTATTGCCACTTAGGCATCTAAGAAGGTGATAAAACTTTAATCATTCTTTCCTTGTTAATCATGACCCCGGTTTTTTAGGTTTAACTATATTTCGTTTTGAATTATTCTAAAAATTCAACAAGTGTTAAATATGATCTCGGTTAACTTCAACCTGGAAATTTTCTTAAATTTTTAAAAGTGTAAACATGTCTCGGTTTGTTAACTTCAATTTGTAATTTTTAAAATTGCAACAAGTGTTAAAATATGACCCGTTTACTTCAACTTGTATATTTTCCTTAAATTTCAACATGGTAACATTGACATCGGTTTAACTTCAACTTATAAATTTTTTTAATTTCAACAAGTGTATAAACCGGATCTTGCTTGAAAATTCCAAACTCCCAAGCATCAATTCTCCATGCCTGACCTCCCGTGAAGGCGGTGAGAATGCCCTTTGCCTGTCGTGTTGAGGGACTGCGAGAACTGTGTTTGTCCCCATTTCTGGGCATCTTTCTTGCTGCGGAATCGACGTATCTAAAGGAACGGTGACTGCATGACGTTGTTGCTGCATCATGAAATTGACGACCGTTGCAGTCCGCCGAATTTGTTCGCCATTCCCTTATCTCGTCTCCTCCGCCAGCATTATATTCCGTACTTGGAGGTCGTCAACCTGGTTATAATAGCCCACTCTGGTCTGTTCTTCCGGTACGCCGCCCTCTGGCTGATCGATCCTTTTTCTTCGTGAATTCTTATCACGATCTCTTCTTGCAGTGTCCTTCTTCGACGTCAGGTCTGTGTTTCTCGCTTCCAGTAGGAGAGTGTTCGTCTCCAACTTTCTCTTTCTGCGCGTTGTTAGCCATTCATTTCTCCTTTCTTTCCCACAGGACAACGCCAAAATTGGTGTGTCAATTTCTGACACACTACCAATCAAAATCTCAGCTGAGAACACTGGCAGATAGATTAAGCCAAACGACTATCACAAAGAGAAGAGATTATTCAACGGTGGTTCGTCCAGCCCGAGGGCATTCCGACGATTCAAGTCAGTATCTCTCAAAGTAGCAAAGAGTTTAATCACTAATTCAGAATCATCAAAAAGCATACCTTAGACCCATGGGTGGCCTCTCTTTATAGCCAACACAAATCTAGTCCCAATAAAGCCTAGCTTCAATGGAACTTAGGGTACTTACTCGAATCTTGGACTCCGTAGGATTGGGATAAACTCTCTAAAGTCTTATCTTACCAAACTAAAGTCCTCTTCATTCTAGGACTCTTTTCCCTTATCTTTTTATCCCGGATTCTGTGTACTCTTCGCAATAACCTCGGCCTATGCGAGATTGATCTCGCGTCATGAACTGACCGTGGCACCTCGACTGGCACTTCGGTGACACCCGCACGTGTTGTCATTCAAAATTATGTCTCCACAGTCGTTCTTGAAGTCTCTTTGAAAGTATACACAAAAACTGATACGGCGGCTTCCAACTCATTATTTAATTTTTGTGCTTTTAACATATTTAAGCCTTAGTAACAAATTAAAATAAAAGATGGAAAAATTAAAATTAATTTTTTATTATTTTCCTTTCCTTTCCTTTGCCTGACTCGAACTAAAATTCAAAATTTTGACACAATGGAGAGAAAACTCAATAAAGTTAAAAAAAAAAAAAATTAAAAAAAAAAAACCTTCATTCACGATTGTCTCCCCAATACTAGAATGGCAACGGGGCAGAGGGCCGTGAGACATCCCTCCCGTCCCCCCATCTGAAGGCTAAAATTCCCGTCCCCGCCCGCCGCATCCCCAGTGGGGCACACCACACCCCTCCGTCCCCGGTCCCCTAACGGTTACTAGAGCGAAAAGAGTTGCCAAGAGAGAGAAGATAGTGAGTGAGAGAGTTTAAGGGAGTGGGGAGGTTGAGATGAGAGTCAGAGAGATGTATATGAGTCAAAGGGTAAGAGTTATAAAATATAATTACAACTAAATAGATATATTATAATATAATACAACCTAAAACATATAAGCACTATACACCGTGGGATCCTTCGGGAAATGTCAAACGGACGGCGGCGGGGCCGGGGCGCCGGGCCAGGGCCGAGAAATTTATCCCCGTCCCGGCCTGAAAATTATTGGGATGTATTTTTTAATACCGTCCCGGGCTCTATGGGAAATATATTTTCGGGAGAAAACCTATTTATCGGGGCCGGGGCGACGGTCCGGGTCCTCGTGGGCTAGGTTCATATTGCCATCCCTACCAAATACATGTCCAACTAAATCGAAGTTTCAAGGGATTTGCATCCTTTAGCTTAACTTTAGATGAAATATGGTCTTGTGCTCGGAAAAAAAAATTCTTGCTCCATATAGAAAATAACATATTGTATTTGGATATAAATTGAAGTAGGTATTTTAAAAGGAGGAAAAAAAAAACCTTATATTATCATTCACATTTACCTCACATTTTTTTTTCTTTTTTTCAAATCTTAATCCTAATCAAATCTATAATCTAAACACAGCCTAAGATGGATGATGTCTCAAGAAAGAAACCAACCTCATTGGAGCTGTCTTGTCAATGTATGAGTTGAAGAGCAATTCGACGATCAAATCAATTACTTAACAAGGTACGTTAGAGTTGCCCATTAATGATATTGTTAGAATTGCCCCGTCAATGATAGTAGGATACTCTGACAATCAAATCAATTACTCTCTCCAACGATCAAATCAATTACTTGGGAAGGTTCGATAGAAGTATCCTGCCGGTGTCAAATATTAGCCGATTTGGGGGACTTGTTACTCTTCTTCCAACCTCCACGAGGGTGGCTTGGTGGATTTGTCCTTCGTACCCCCACCTGATGAGACAGTCGGCATAGCGCCATTTTGTTGGCCCCTTTCCCCCGCATTGGGCTGGGCATCAAGAGCTTAGTTCTTGGGCCCATCTGTTTGTATTTTCCTAACACAGTCTCATGGCGTTGAGCTTTCTTAACTACAATTCTTGGAACTCTTGCATCATCCATCACATTTCTAACTTAAACAAGTTCCCATAATAGTTTCAGTAGAGATAAACACCACCATCATCGCGAAAAAATATATAAATAAATAAATAAAAAGAAGAAAAAAAAATATATTTAAAGTTGAATGTGACGGCCAAATAGGGTGCAACTCGGGCGGGCTCACCCGAGCAACCCGAGCCCAGCCCGAGTTTTTTAGGGCTTGGGCAACTATATCTTGTAATCTGGACGGGCTTGGGCAGATTTTTGATGCCCGAATTGCAATTCGGGCCGGGCTTGGGCAGAACCAATGGTCAACCCGAGCAACCCGAACCCGAATTCAATTTAATATATTATATATATATAATATATATATAAATTTAATAATTATGTAAATATATTAAATTAAGTAAAAGAGTTAGTCTTAATTTTTATTTTTTATTTTTTTTTGTTAGTTTCTTACCATTAGATTAGCATCTTTTATGTCTACCCTTAGATCTACTGCAGGTTTCTGAACTCGGCAATTCGGGCAATTCGGGCAACCCGAGTTCAAAAATACAAAGCTTGGGCCGGCTTGGGCAACAATGTTCGGTGTCATGGTCGGCTTGGCGGGCTTGGCGAGTGCCAAATACAATTCGGTTCGGGCTTGGGCAGACCCCAACCCGACCGAACCCGCCCGAGTTGCACCCCTAGCCCAAAACCCATATTATACTACATTGTGAGTGTTTAGAAAATTGCTATTTTAGTAAATTGTTTTAATTTTTTAACTATTTTAATAGTTAAAATTCTTTGTATTTAAAAAGATGATTAAATTTTTTTATAATTAGATGAGATGTTTGTAAGAAAAAAAATAAATAATTATAAATTTGATGTGACATTTTATCATTAACTATTTTAATCTATTTTATCTTTTTATAAATTTTAGAAATTTCACTTCCAACACCCCATTGTATAACGAAGGTTCAAAGCTCGAAAATTATGTAGACACACGTCACCAAGCTGATAAGCCAAACACAAATAAACTCTAGCTTGTAAAAGTTTAACAAATTACAATAGAGATGCCCACACATATTATAATTTTCACAACTCCCGCTCTCATTTCAACCACTCATAATGTGAGATTCACACATACATAAGTAAATCTCACACATACATCAAGGGTTAAGATCAAATTGAAAGTCATAAAACCCCCCAAAAAAAAAGTCCTAAACATTTCTGAAAGTTTAAAGAGATATTTTGAAAAATTAAAAAAAGAAAAAAAGAAAAAAGAAAAAAAAAAAAAAAAGTAGCAGAACAGACACGGGTGTGGTGTGGGCCCTACGACAAGTGAGGGCCATGCATCCTACTGTGACCCTTTTTTTGCTATTTCTTTCTTGAGCATGTCAAAGTGTGTTCAAAATTACGAATATTTCTTTGATTCCAAAGCATATGTAAATCCACACGGAAATCAAAAACAAAACCATGCATAGCAGCACTGACAAAATCCGAACCCACACATTAACTATTAATCTCATATATTAATTTGAGTAACAAAAGCAGAGAAGAGCATAACATTAATGATCCGTTTGATTCATGAATTTGAGTAACGATTTAAAAAAAAAAAGAAAAGAAAAATATAAATATAATTATATTTTACACAACTTTTCCCTTTCTAAATTTCTTTCTAAATTAATGAATAAAACGCCGCTACAGAAAACTTTCCAAATTAAATTTCAACATGCCGGAACTTTCTTTCCATCTTTCAATAAAAAAATTTGCAGCTTCTGGCACCTGAAAAAAAACACAGGGAAAAAGACTGAAGTAACCCACAAGAGAGGAGAGAGAGAGAGAGAGATCAAATGGCTCAACTGCAATCAAATGAAGATTTTAATTTGAACAGGTCCAAGTTAGAAGAACCATAAGTAGCAATTGTGTTGCAATTTTCCGAAATTCAAAAATGACTTTTTGAGTAAAAACTTAGAATTCAGGTCAAACCTAGACATGAAGAGAATACTCAATAGTGCAACGGGTAAAACAAAGCATAAATAGATTTAGACTTTGATTTCTTCGGGTTTAAAACTTACCCCACCATTTCATAAAAGAGGCCAATATGACGTGCCGGTCTCACAAACCTAGAAATGATTATCGGAAACACCACATGGTCATATGCCTACCCAACAATATGGGGGGCATGCAATCATTTTTGAGGAAAAATAGGAACAACTTGAACACATGGCCATTAAAAATTGAACAGACATGCCATGTTTAAATTCCCGACCCACCTGAAAATTTTCCCAAATGAAAATATTGTCTAAACCGAAAACGTGATGATAAAGAGAGAAGATGTGAATGATAACTTACATCAGGCCAAGAATCCGTAATGAGCTCCACGATGTCATAGGATATGTCTCCTTGAACATCAATTTGCTCCTTTTTAGTTGGCCCCTAAACCATCATTCAAAAAAATATATATGACAAAGGTGCACATATTTTCTTATTTAGATGAGGATAGATGTGTGTGATATAAAAATCATGTGCAGAAGAAGTTTGAAATTGACATGTTGAATACACCTTAACAACAGAGGCTCCAGTAGGAAGCTTCTTGTTAAGATTATGGACACCCAAAATTAATAAACAACAAACACACAGAGAACACAAACTTTACATGGTTCGGCCCAATGCCTATGTCCACGAAGCAGAAAAGAGAATCACTAAAATTGAGCAAAATACAAAAACAGAGGAGAAAAAACTCACTCAACTCACAGATTTCTCTATCAATTTTTTGATACAATTCATCATCTCCCTCCCGTCTCTATTTATACACACACAGAGAGAGAGAGAGAGAGAGAGAGAGAGAGGGACAAACCCACCAAAATTTTTACCCTCTGTTGGTGAGAGTCAACAATGGCAACAACGTGAAAAGAAGGGAGAGATGCCCAACTCAGACTTCCGTCACTTGCAATGGAAGTCATCGTACGCCATCCTTCTCTTCCTTGCATGCATGTGAGTTGGAACTAACAATTTTGCCCTCCATACCCACATGCATGACTGACTTCTCACTTGAAGTCCATCCTGGCCATGTGTCTGCAAATTTCGAGTTTGTCTCTCGAGACCACCTTTGTAAGCATGTCAACTGGATTCTTCTCTGTATGGATCTTGATCAGTTCCAATAACTGCTTTTCCATCACTTTGCGTATCTAATGATATCGAACATCAATGTGCTTCATGCGAGAATGGTACATAGAATTCTTGCTCAGGTCTATGGCACTCTAGCTATCACAATGTACCGTGAACTTTTCTTGCTTTAGTCCTAGTTCTTGGGGAAACTGCTTCAACCACAACATCTCTTTCCCAGCTTCCATTGCGGCAATATACTCTGTCTCGGTTATGGATAAAGCAACACACTTCTGCAGCTTGGACTGCCAAGACATAGCTCCCCTTGCAAAAGTGAACATAAATCCTGATGTCGATTTTCTACCATCAAGATCTCCCACCATATCTGAATCCGTATAGCCTTCCAAGATTGGTTTTGCTCCTCCAAGCGTAGACATATTTTGGGGTGTACCCTTAAGGTACTTCATAATCCACTTCACTGCTTCCCTTTCCCTGGATTGGAAAGGAATTTGCTTACAACTCCAACAGCAAGAGCAATATCTGATTAGGTGGACACCATTGCATACATTAAACTCCCTACGACGGATGAGTAGGGAATAACCTCCATCTCCTCTTTCTTTCGTAGAGGAGGGACAAGAACTCTTGCTTAGCTTGAAATGATTAGCCAGTAGAGTACTGACTGGCTTGGCATCTTTCATGTTGAACTTCTCAATCATCCGTTCAATGTACTTCTCCTCTGACAACCATAACTTCTTGGCTTCCCTGTCACGCATAATTTTCATGTCCAAAATTTGTTGTGCAGGGCCTAGGTCCATGTCAAAGGACCGTGATAACTCCTTCTTCAGTGACTTGATTGCGGTAGCATCTTGTCCAACAATCAACATGTCATCAACGTAGAGCAGGAGTATGATGAAGTTTCCACCAAGAAATTTCCTAACAGACACACTGGTCTGCAGTAGTTCTCTTGTACTCATGACCCAGCATGAATGAGTCAAACTTCTTGTACCACTGTCTTGGTGCTTGTTTGAAGCCGTAAAGACTCTTCTTCAATATGCAAACTAAGTTTTTTTTCCCTTTTATTTCAAAGCCTTCTGGTTGCTCTATGTAAATTTCTTCCTACAGATCACCATGGAGAAATGCCGTCTTCACATCCATTTGTTCAAGTTCCAAATTCAAACTGGCCGTCTACTCGAATGGTTGTCATTTTCACACCTGGTGAGAAGATTTCATCAAAATCAATACCTTTCCTTTGCCCAAAACTTTTGACAGCCAATCGAGCCTTATACTTGACTAACCTTCTGCTACCATCTTTCTTCAACTTGAACACCCATTTGTTCTTCAGTGCTTTTTAACCCTGGGGAAGTTTTACCAAATCATAAGTCTAATTTTTCTACAAGGACTATATCTCTTCTTGCATAGCTTGCTACCAGCTACTCTTCTCCTTATGATTCTGAGCTTCTTGAAAACTTTCTGGCTCCCCCTCATTAGTAAGCAAAATATACTGAAAAGCAGGGTATTTTGATGACGGCTTAGTGTAGACACCCCATTTTTGACCGACCTTAAGACTCAGACGTCACTGATTGAGCGCTCGGTGATATTGCATATCGTGCTCGTTCAGAAGTTTCAGAGTCCCGGCTGCAAGCCTTGCCTCCGGACTTCCGGACTCTTTCGTGCTTTGCCTCGGTTTGTGAACCAGGCTCTGTTTTCTCAGTTTTCTCTTCCTGAAGGGAGGGAGAGGTCTCGTTTTTTTTTTTCCGAAGGGAGAGAGAGGTCTCGTAGATCATCTCTCAGTGGCCGTAGGCTACGTTTCGCGGTCGTAGGCCATTTTTCCCATTTGGAGCCCGGTTTCGGATTTTTCGGAGCCGACGGCCGTGTGACTCGGTTCGGGACCACCTAACCACCTCCGTTTGCTCCGATTTTTGGTATACACCTCATTTCCTCCCTTTTGAGGGACACTGGGGTCCGAAAGACCAACTTCGTGGTCAAACGCCACCCCCGGTGCTTAAACAGCCCATTTTCAGGGCCTCGGGTCGCGCGTTTCGGTCCCCGAACCTCCGTTTTGCATCCGTTTTGGTTCATTTTTGGTGGAGACCTTATTTTCATAATTAGGAAGCTTGTAAGAGAGTGGGAGGCCAGCAATCTATGAAGCATGGGTACTTCGAAAAACATGCCGTACCCGTACCGGGTACTTACCGGCGTACCGTACCTCGTATGGTACTTCTGCATACGTACCGGGTACATGAAACACGTACCCAAGTTTTTTCTTCTTAATTTTTGACGTACCCAGACGTACCGAGTATATATTCAAGCCGTACCGTACCTCAGTTTTTATTTTATGCTCAGCATGATTTTAAAATTAAACAATGGTTTGTAAGTTGTTTAATATATTAACATTTAATTTTGATTTATACTTTTCCTTTTGACATTAAATGTTAATTATAGGTTGGACCTTAACAAATTAAACAATTTAATTAATTTTTGCATTACTCTAAATTAAAAATAAATATTTTTTTACAAACGTACCAAGCCGTACCCGTACCCTATTTTTTTTGAATTTTACCGTATCGACGTACCCGTATCGTACCAGTACCAATACCCGTACCCGTACCTGTGCTTCATAGCCAGCAATTGTTCCAAAAAACCATTTTTATTTCTTCATCGCTCTCCGACACCCGTTTTCCTCACTTGAAAGCCAATGTTGACCACCCTGGAGCCACTATCTTGAACCCTAGACCCTATATTAGTGATGTACACACCTGGGAGGCCATCAATATTTGGTGGCCAACCAATAATTGTTCCTGACCCTTTCGACCCCCTCTAAAAAATGGTCTTTTCTCTCTCCTGGTTCACTTTTTCTGGGTTTCAACCACATAGTTGTGTTGTGCACACATAGGAGACCACCAATATGAGGTGGCTGACCAGTAATTTTGCTTGACCCCTTTGACCCTTGGTCGGCCGGCCATGGGAGGCGGTTGGCCGACCACCTAAACCCCCAAAACCTGGCCGGGCATGACCCCCACTCCCTGTTCCTTCCAGCTGTGGCCTCTTTTTCCCCCCAGATCCTATATCCGGGGGGGTGCCTTTTTGGGGGGAAATTTGAATTCATTTTCCCCCCCTTTTTCCTCCCCTCCTTTGCCTATATAACCAGCCCCTCAGCTGCACTTTGAGGGGTTACAAAAATTTGGTCTTAAGCCCTTGCACTCAATCTCTCTCTCTCCCTCTATTCCAACCCTCAAAACCACCTTGCTCCTACACCATTTCTACACCACCTCATAGCACCACACCTCCATCCTCCATTCCAGCAAATTGAGGCTGCTTTCCAGAGGTGAAGAACTCCCAAACTTGGCTCAAAAGTTATTGGAGCATTGGTCTACAAGGGTGAGTCACTTTCTTCCCTTTTCTAGTCTTTTTTTGCTTTGTACATAAGCCTTAGTTGCTTGCATTTTTGGGCTCCGACCCTAACTGTAAATAGTCATATTTTGAGCTCCTTTTCATGTTTGATTAATGGTCTTTCTCTGTTTGAGACCTCCTGCTATCACTTGCTTCTTTAACTCTCTTTTAGGCCTTATTTTTGCATAGTATTTTTGGCCTGTTTCTGAGCTGTTTTGGACTTTGCCATAAACTGTAAAATAGCTTGTTTTGAGCCCCTCTCCAACATTGTTGAAGTGCACGCCTCTGTTTGAGGCCTCCTGCTATCACTTACTCTTTTATCTCTCTTTTAGGCCTTTTCTTGCATGATAGTTTGGCCTTATTTGTGATTATTTTCGTGGTTTGATGTAAACTGAAAAGTGCCTTGTTTTGAGCCCCTCTTCAACTTTGTTGAAGGGCTCTTTGCCTTTTGGGGCCAGCTGCTGTCCCTTTGTGTTTAATCTCTCTTTTGGGGCCATTTTTGTATGATAGATTAGCCGTATTTGCATTCATTTTTGGGACTTGTTATAAACTGGAAATATGCATGTTTTGGGACTGTCTTGCATCTGTCTTCATGCTTCATGATCAAATAATGTGTGTTTTGTATAGTTATAGGCCAATACGTATGCCTAGTTTTGTGTTTCGGGGCCACTCCATGCATCGGGTGCCATGTTTCCATGTTTCGGGGTCATTTTGCATCACATTTCAGTGCTGAAACTTGCATGTTTGTATGCCATATTTCGTGCCTTGCCGTGCCTTGTTAGAGTGGCATTTGTGCCTTAGGATCGGTCCTCGGTTTGCGTGCACGCGTGCACGTATTTCGAGAGTCTCATTTTTCATCTCATGGCTACTGATTTGAGTGTGGCCGAGGCCCACTCATGTTGGTGTAAGCCCATTGTGCATTGTGTATGCCATTTCATTTCATAGCATTGCGTATGCTAGGTTGTATGTTAGCGCATTGTATATGTCATGTTATCTCGTGCATCGTGTATGTCATTTCATAGCGTTGTGCATGCTAGGTTGTCTATTAGTTGCATTCATGCATGTCATGCATATTGCATTGTGCTTGGGATAGGAGTTAGCCCGAGCACGGGAAACGAGGAACGTTTCGTACTTCGAGTGACGGAACGTGTCTCAATTCCCGGTCACCGACACTCCGGATTATCCATGATGGAGTTTAGGTCTTGTTTTGTCTATATGTGCATTCATTTCATATTGGGTCGTGCAATTCGACTCCTCGACCATCATGCATCGATATGCGTGATTGGTGGCACGAGGATTGAGGACTACACTCC